CTTTTCTGTTGTCCGTCCCCCAGGGAGGAGGTCACATATAGTTCCTTGTAATCGGTTCCCTCTTTCCTACCCACTCTCCCTCCACTCTCCCTGTTTCGCCACTCATACCACTGGTCCTGTAGGGCTCATCCGCCCTGGATTCCCTGTATTTTCAGTTCCTATCTGTACCAGTATACCTCCTCTGGTCTAGGCAGACTTGCAAGGTCAAATTCTAGCCTTCTGAGGATTCTGAGAACTCCTGTCTTCAACCCTGGAAATGGGACATACACACTCTGCTTCGTAATCCTGCTGACAAGACACATGGAGCCATACTGATGGCAGCCAGAGACCTGGAACTGGAGGAGCCACGTAGAGACCCATGCCAGCATTGAGTTACTTTCACTGCCGCTGGATCCACAAGACTTTCTACCTATAAGCCTGTGACCTTCCTGCATCCTACATCATTGCAGAGTCTGAAGAATTTATAGACTAGAATTGGATATATGGGCTAATATCAGACCTAAGAACTTGATCTGGACTGGGATGAGATGTTTTCTTAATATTCAGTTACTCTTTGATATAAAGCTTCTCCCTTACACCCACATGATGTCTCTGGATTTGTTTTTCTTGTCAACCCAGAACAACACATGCATGATCTGTAAACATATGTTTGTCTTTATCTTGGGTGCTATCCTTATAATAATGGTCTCACACAATATTTGTCCTTTTGTGTTTGACTGACTCCACTCAGCATGTTTTCTAGGTCCATCGTAATTTCATCAGTATTTTTCAGTGTCTCATAGTATTCCACTGTGTGTATACCATGGGAGTGCAGATGCCTGTTATTCCTCTTCTTCCTGGATCATATGGGATTTCCATCCCCACTTGTTTTAGGTAGTGCCTCGTTGCTTTCCTCAACAATAGCATATGTTTATGACAGTGTATGAGAGTTCCCATGTTTCTGCACCTTCTCTGGCATTTGTTGTGTTTTGTTTTGTTTTTTAAATTGGGCTTCATTATTGATATAAAGTGATATCTCATTGTTTTGACTTGCATCTCTTGGATGGCTAGTGATAGTGAACGGTTTTTCATGTGTGCTAGCCAATGGGATATCATTTTTGGTGAACTTATATGTCTTTTGTCCACTTTTAATTGAATCAGTTGTCTTTTGCTATAGAGGTCTGGCAGTATTCTATAGATTGTAGAGATGAGACTCTTTTCTTTTTTTTTTTTTTTTGTGCGCTGTTCCTGGAAGCACAATACCAGGTCGATGCGTGGAGTGGATGGAGCAAGCTCCTATTCCAAGAGATGAGTCCCTTTTCATTGTGTCATTGCTAAAGATTGTTTCCCAGACTGTAGACTCTTTTTACCCTTCTGATGTACATAAGTCTTACTTTTAGTAGGTGCCTGTCTTCTATTTTGTCATGGGCAAAGTTCAGAAGTTTGAAACCACCAGCCTCTCTGCTGGTGAAAGCTGGGGCTTCTATTCCTGTCAACAGTTACAGGGGGTTGTTCTGACCTGTCCCACAGGGCTGATTTGTGTCAGCATTGACTCAGTGCCGTGAGTTTGGAATTTAGTGTTGGTGTGTGTTATACTTTGTTACATTTGATGTGTACCTTGCAATAAACCCCTAGATCTGTTCAGCTTGTCTCTACTTTCCCATTGATGATCTTTATAGCTCTCAGATTTACACTTAGGGTCTTTGGTCCAATATTGAGGTCCTTATTATACATAGAGTGAGGTATGGGTTCTATTTCATTCTTTTGTCGATGGAGATCTAATTCTGACAGCACCATTTGCTGAAGATGCTCTCTCTTTCCCACTTAATGTTTTATGGCTCTGTGTTGAAGATCAGTTGTCTGTAGGTGATTGTAATGCTCTCCTTGTAAATCTACTTGCCATTTCTATCACTATTTGACTTATTGGTAGTGTTATTCTAACTGTCCTATAGAGAGCTTTTCCAATTTGATACCTATAGAGTTTTGACATGCCCCCTCTTTTTCTTATTTTCTGTCATAATAAGATGCTCATAGCTCACATTTTCCTTTTCTCACCCCTGGAATCAACCAGTTCTCTGTGAGCCTAGATTCCCTTTACTGGAGAATGGTATTTAGAAGTGAAGATCTGGGTTATAAGGGTGTGCTCATGGCTATTGGTCTATCCTGCCTCACTGGCTAGAGCTAGGACATATTGTGTATATATGTGTGTGTGTGGACAAAATTAGAAAAATATAACATGGATACATTATTTCTGTATATCTATTTACACATACACACAGGTCTTTTATATTTTACATTTATTATAAATGTATATTTATACATTTACACAAAGGTCTTTATAATGCTCTCTTCCCCTATCCTTGCCCCTGAACCCATTTTTTAGTTAAAGTAATATGATTTAATGTGAATGCCAGCCTTCTTTTAATTGGCATAATCTTTTTCAACTGGCATGGTTTGCTTTTCTAACAAGGAAGGACACTTTAAGGTGAATATGGAGAAATGTGATGGGAGCTGCACGGCCATTCCTTATCAACTTTTCTGAATTGCTCTGTGATTTTTGTGCCCCCAAATCTTGCTTTTCTCAGGGAATGGTGACTACATAAGCCTCTTGTTTCCTTTGGCCCCATCTTGGGTTTTTCAGTCTCAGGAAGGGCTGTTCAACAGTTATTTTACCCTATAGGAACCTAGGTAGCACAAGCGGTTTGCAATCAGCTGCTAACCCACAAGCCTGGCTGTCTGCTTTCATAAAGCTAAACCTTCCGGAGCCCTTTGCTCTGTATCACACGAAGCTGCTGTAAGTTTGAGACTGACTCAACAGCAACAGTTGTGCTCTAGGTTTCCCAGGGAGCATAACGCGAACCAAGTGAAGTGGAAGAAGGTCTGCTGCACATTGTATCTTATATGGAGCTTTACACTTTTAAGGCTCGGTGTTGTATTAAATTCTCCCTACATGTCTACTCTGACCTGTCATAGAGGATCCAGAAGTGACTGCTTTTCTGTGCCTTAAAAATTGATCAAGCTTTACATTCTATCTTTTTTGCCAAAAGTCTTAGAAAGAGAATCTGCCTGCGTTCAAGTAGTCCCCACCTTATTTTCCTAGGGCTTACAACAATGGAAGGTGGTTATGTAATGTCACAATGAGCATAGCTTAAAAGAATGCATATGCCATTTTTGTTCTTTGATCTAGTTCCTTTTGTAGGTTCAGCGATATTTATAATAGATGTTAGTGAGTCTGTTAAAGAAATTGAACAATGTTTGCATTAATTTTCCCCAATGCCAAACATACTTATTCTGTAAGACAAAAATATGCTTTCAAGTATTTTGCTGTATTGGATTCTTGCCATCAGTGCTTCCTAATATTTTAACAACTTGACATGCTTAGGAAATGATAAATTTGAGATAAAGGAATAAGGTATTCAGGGATGGTGGAATCTGCCCCTGTGTACACCGACCTGCCTCTTCTCTGGCCGAGGAGAGAAATAGCTCAACAGATAGCTAACACTGGTGTTAGATCTGTTGCGAGTCTCTGCCCTGTTTGTTGATGTAAATTCTTTAGATAGGTATAAGCTTATTTGGGATTGTCCAAATGTATGTTTGCCCCAGGATAACATAGATTGGCCTATCAAATGTTCAGCAGAAAATAGGGTAAGAGATGGCTTCAAACCGAATAAAATAGAACTTTTGAGGCTTTTAAAATTATGATGATGGTGATGATAATGGGTATGGTGGATATAGAGCACTCATTATAATTTAAGGGCTTCTTCAATGCTGTCAGCCACATGAAATGAATTTCTATTCAGTTGTTTTCGACATTTAGAATGTTATCTCATAAAATATGAAGTTCACTGAAGATAACGCTTCCGGTAGAGAGCACCTCAGTGTTTGTCTTCACTCGCCCTTAGTTGGAGTACCTGTTGAATCCTCAGCCTGAGAGCCAGGGTGGTCTTTGTACTACACTACACGACTAACCTAACGATGGGTGGCCTAAACTCAAACAGCAGTGATATGAAAGAAAGACCTAGCAATCTACTTCCATAGAAATTATACCCAAGAAAACCTACATAGAACAGTTCGATTTTGTTATATGTGGGATCACTATGAGGCAGAATTGACTCTGGCAGCGTTTTTCCCCCCTGATAATTTCCTGCCTGCAGAGTCCTAGGGTTACATTTAAATATGGTGACATGAAGCAAACATTGGAAGGCATATCTTCTTTGTTATCTTAAAAGTAAACAAACAAAAACATTATAGATATTTTAAGACATACATAAGTAGATACTAGTGCAGTGAACTTCCATCACTGATCTTCAGCAGTGCTTATATATATCTATAATTCTACATTTCCTTCTTCCTATGTTAAGATCCAAGGAAATCCTCTTATGGAGAAAATAAATCAATGGAATGGAGTGTAGCCTCTCTAAACTCTGTGTCTGTGATAATCTCATAAATACTCAAGAGGAAGACCACCTTTCTTGGGCAAAGTCTGGGTTCAACTTCTGAAATAAAAGGAGACGGGATCTTAGGGAGGGGAGAAACGTGGTATTTTTGTAAGGTGAGAGGAAGAAGTAGTGAAGAGAGGTACCCACAGCCTTTTAAAATATTTTATTTTACCCAAAGCTCCCTAATAGTGCTTTTTAACAAAAGTGAATTTACTTAGGCTTTTTTGATTGGGTTCAGGTGCTGTCTACATTGTGGTGTGGGTTTGGCTACATTAAAAGTACAATTTCACCCATTGGTGATAGCTTTAAGAATTGTATTCGTTAAAAAAAAAAAACAAAACAGAAAGAAATGTATTTGTGTTGACCAAATTGACAAGAAACTAAGTTACCCATTTATTGATTTATAGCAAATGACTAATACATTTTCGAAAAGTAAGCTACGTCTACAAAAGGCTTAATTGGTTATAGTGTTATAAGAAAGAAAACTTGTTCCCATTTAGCAATGATTATTGCTAATATTATGTCTATGTTAATTTGTTTCCAAAATATGGTCTTTAAAAAGACTGTTTCTGTTTCTTTTAGTGGCATTTATTTTCAACTGGCTTGGGTTTTGCTTGTCATTCTGTATAACCAATACCATAGCTGGAAGGTATGGTGCTATCTGTGGATTTGGTCTTTCATTGATAAAATGGATCCTTATTGTCAGGGTAAGTACCACTATAGCCTTTATCACTTTTTAATCTCTACAATTAAAATATATAAAATACTCTGTGTTAATTATATGCATACAAATTCACTTATTCAGATCTTATTCTTCTGTGCTTATTTATCGTAGTGAAATCCATGTTGTGAACATTTTTTGTACGAGAGGTGGTGTAGTAGATCAGAAGGAGCTTTGCCAACAGAAGAACTTGAATTTAAATCTAATATTTTTTATATTTGTGTTCTACCTCTAGGTTGTGCTGAGCATCAGTTTCTTCATAAAATAGTTTGCTGATGATAGTATCTACCTTTTAGGAGTTTTGTAATGTGTGAAAATAATATATATCCACTTGGATAAATATGGGTGCTCAGTCAATCATGGAGTGTGATATCGTTCAGGCATGCCTAACCTCAATTAAAACAGACATTTCTATTGTTTTGTAAAATGATTTACTTAAAAAACAAAACTTATTCTTAAAAAAAATTAGCCCTGAATATTTGAAAGCATAGGTAGATTTGAATTTATACACCCTGACTTTGTCTTTTATAACAAAGCTCCAAGCAGTAAATTCTTAGAGTATATGGCTAGAGAGAAATGTTTCTCTGAAAAGTGTAGTGCTTCCTTTCATTAAATAATAAGTAATGTATAAACCATACTGCTGCTATTTTCTTTAGCCAAGGATTCTGAAATTACATCTAAATTTTCATATTTTATTAAGTACATGCTTTAATTCTTTTCAAAAGTGAGCGTGATGTAAACAGAATCATTTATGTTCACCTAAAATTAGTGCATCTATATTTTGTAGTTTGACTTCTGCCACACATGTCATTGGTTTAACTGGCCTACTTTCAACAACAAACAAACAAATAAAAACAAAAGCCAATTTTACTCAGACTTTTGATGTTTTAAAATATCTTAAAATATTTTGATAACCCATTAATGATTCCAAAAGCTATTAATCTATTGTTTTTGAGTTTTTAATCTTTGACTTCAAGGTGAAGTTAATTGGGAGTAAGTGAAGTATAGCCTTATGGTAAATATTTCTGTTGAATGACTCTGCTCCTGATCTTAAAGACGGACTTCTGACCGACTTGCACAGAAACTTTGAAAATGTACTGCCGTTTATTTCTTTTTGTTTTTATACTCTTTGAAATTTCTGAACTGATTTTGCCTATAGGAAAACTTTGTTTGTACCTATTAGCTACTTGATTAGAAAGTACCTCAGTTCTACTTTATGAAGTATTGTTTTTTTCATAAAATTTTTAAGTTCTCCCTTCGGTTTACATATTTTAAAGGCACAGCACATGGGATTATACATTGTTAGTAGTACTTTGAAATTTTTTTTAGTACTTTGTAATTTATAAACCTAAGCTGAAGATTATAGATCATGATTCATTTCTTTACTTAAAATATGTACTAGAAAGATGTGTCAAAGCCTTTTAAAAAGTGACTTGAATAATCTTTAGTGGGTATCTGTCTGAAATAGTAATATTTCTTACAATCTATAAGCATATTTCCAGTGCTGTAGGATTGTACATACTTTATGGAAATTAGCATAATGGGAAATATTGGAATAAAGAAAGTTGAGCACCAGTTTTGAGATCAAACCTTAATTCTATAATTAAATCAATTTTAGTTAGATTGATTTCATGATTGATAAACTCTTTTTGAATAGTTTTGGAGTAGTTTAAAAAAAAAACAATACAACTGTTATTTGAAGGCCATGCTAAGTGAATAAAGAGTGGTAGGAATTATCTGAAGAAAATTGATATATTTAGTTTTTTAAGTCGATGAACCATGATACATAGAGTTTGCTCAAGGAAAAGGTACTGGTATCTAATAGCCTCAGACCCTACCTTTCAGCCTCCTGTCCATATTCCCATATCACAGAGGATATGCAACGGTCTATCACTGCCTTTAACATAAACTCTGGAAATGCCCCTTCAGAGGTCATTTAATTCTCAACTCATGCTGAGAACTGAATGCTGGAACATCTAGTTTGAAAATAAAATTAATGAATTGGGAGTCTTTATGGACCTCGATAATGGTAACAGTAGGGTGTGAACAGAAGATTCAAAAACTTTTTAGAGGTTAGCAGAACATACCTATCTGGGAAGGTTCAGCTAATGTGACTTTTGGTGTTAAATCTAAAGCAGTGTGTTGGGATAGTAGTTGTAGTTTTGAGAAATTATTTTTTAAAAGACTGACATGTGAACTCTTAAATGGGAGGATTTTTTGTTCAGGTATATAGTATTTACCATCCTTTCTCTAAGCAAGGAATTGCTTACAGTTTAGAATTGTACTTTGTTTTAAAAATATTTTGTATAATGTAAAAATTTTTTCTCAAATAACTTTATGAAAATGATTAATGTATATGTTTTTTCCCCATTGAACACAAAAGTATTTTTGAAGTGTTAAAGATTATTTTCACGGAACCCTGGTGGTGTAGTGGTTATGAGTTGGGCTGAGGTCTGGGTGGTTGGCAGTTTGAAATCACCAGCATCTCTCTGGAAGAAGGACTAGGCGTTCTATTCCTGTAAGCATTGAGAGTCTCGGAAACCTACCAGGGGGGTCAGATTGACTTAATGGCAGTGAGTTAAAGATTATTTGGGCTAAGTAGTTCTCGAACCAAGACTAATCTGTGATTTTCAAACTAGTTACACAAATAACAAAAATATTTATGTTCATTCCGTAGTTTTCTGATTATTTTACTGGATATTTCAATGGGCAGTATTGGCTTTGGTGGATATTTCTTGTACTGGGTAAGTTTATTCTTAATGCATTTGGGTTTGTTTAGCTCCATTTAATTTGATGGAACTTGATATTTACTAAAATTTCAAGGCATCAATAAAGTTCATAGGAATTTTTTTCTTTTAAAATTCCTACATGCAAACATTTAAACTAATACTTTTAACCTTTAAACTAATTTTGGTCAGAACTCCCAAGTTTTTAGATTTAAAATCTAAATGGTAGTTGAATGATAATTGAATACTATAAGATTTAAAAGCTAATATGAGTAAAAAATAATTGTATTCAACATTTATCTTAGAAAATCTATTACACATTTTCTTTAAATTATATTAGACAATTTTTAAAGGATAGTTTGAGTGTTTTCTCCATTTTCTTATTTTGGTGTTATGGAAACATTATTTATTCCTTTGAAATGTACCTTGCATTAATCAGGAATCAGAAGTGGCTTCATGCTAAATGATCACAGTCTATTTGTTGAATTGTCTTCTTAAAAGCTGTGTCTTTTTATTCATATTGATGGATTTTAGAGATTTCTAATTTTAGTCCCTTGTGCGTGCTACTTTAGGTACTTGGTAATTATTTTTATTTTAAAGTAAAATTACACTTTTAATCTAACATTTCAAATATATGCTGACACGAAAAAGACATGTCATTTCTACTTAGGCCTTTGAGCTGTGATTCCTCTGGTGAAATAATTGCACGAGAAGACGTGGCAGCTCAGCAGGTGGCACTCTCTTCTTTGAGGTTCTTATTTCCTCATGCTACCGAAGCTTTAAGGTCTTTGGGAAACAGTTTTTTTGGGGCCAATGAAAGTCCTTGCAGGTTTTAGATTCGTTAATTGTTTGGTGATATTATCATAGTGAAACAACCTTGTTGAAGAGGGTGTAGTCAGTTTTATATTGTTAATTGTTTTCTCACTGCTTGTTTTGTGTTCTTTTTTTCCCCTAAAACAGTTTTATTGGCACATAATTTACATATCACACAATTCAATAGTTCAGTCGTTCAGTCGTACCAAGGAGAATTGTACAGTTTTTAACACATCAATTTTAGAGCATTCCACCCACCTACCGACATGGTTAAATGGCCTTTCAAATGAGTTGTGCAATCATAATTCATCCTAGTGCTCCCTGCCCCCTGCCATCTTCCTTATTTACTCCCCAAGTCCCCTTTTCCCTCCCTATCACCCACCACACCTAAGAGTTAAAAAAATCAGTGTGAAGGCTATCTGTTTATATGAGGATTTTATTATGACTAAGCATTCACATGTTATGTCCCCTGAATAAATGCTAAGATTGTGGATGGCGATGAGATGAATTTGGCAGTTTGTCTATTTAAAGAAATCATTAATGCATTTTTCTTTTTGCTAATTTCTCAATTTTTTTAGATGGATTTGATTGATCTTAATTTAGGTTTATTTAGATATAACAAATTTAAATATTTTGGGGTGGTACAGAGGTAAACTATATTAGATTAGTATGTGTTACTTCATGATGGAATATATACATCATAGTATAAATTATATTTTGAAGTGAAGAAAATGGATACCATTTTTAAGCCAAGAAGACCTTATAATTGTCTCCTTTTAAAATTATCATGCCCCTTTCCCATACAAGACCATAATATATCCCTATTATTTCAATCTTCTCAGGGCTCCTCCTTTTCTTCAGAGGATTTGTTAATTATCTGAAAGTGAGAAATATGTCTGAGAGTATGGCAGCTGCTCACAGAACAAGGTATTTCTTCTTATTGTAAAGGTAAGAGTATTATATATTGACTATTCTCTTATAGTATTCAAATTTACCAGATACATATTAAATACTTACTCTTTTCATAATGTTTATTCAAGTTTAATATTATTAAATATGTTTTTAATAGCATATTTTAATTTATAAAGTTGTAGTTCTATGTAAATTTTTAGATTTTTAAAAAGTGGAATTTCATATTCTTATTTTTTCTTATCAGTAAGCTAAAGTGCTTAGCTAAGATAAGTTTCTAGGTTAAAAACTTCAATAATATTGTAAGCCATATTTTTAAAATTTGCTTTCAAAGATTGCCCACAGATTATGAAAGAAATCGACCTCCACCACAAAATATAAAGGCTCGAAAATAACGCACGAGGAATGGGCATTTCGTATCAAACAGTGCGATATGCAGATATACGTCTGGTGGAAAATCTCCCAAATCTGATAAAAAAACGCATTGATTTTTAAATAATGTGAATCCAAAAATAAAAATTGCATGAAGAAAATGGGAATTCTGTTGTTATTTCTTAATGTGTGTCAGTTTGTATCAACAGTGAAGGTCACAGTTTGGGAAAAGGGGAATAGGAATCAATGAGCAGGGATTAACTAGTTTACCCAGTGAGTTTCTGCAGAGGCTACATGTAGAAGAATAGTATTTATAGTGCAACCAGGTCTATCTTCACAAGAACAGATCTCAGATTTTTACTGCCTCATATTTTTTACAGCAAATACCATGTGCTTAATGTTTACAAATGTTTTAAACTTTTTAATATTTGAACTGCATAAACAATTTCTGCTAACAACATGAATTTTCAGAACTCTAAGAACAACTGTTTCAAGGTTACTATAATTACATTTACTTTTTATAAATAAGTTGTATAGTTTGTGATTTGGTTTCCAAAATTTTATCTATGACTTTATGAATTACACAAAAGTTTACATAATTCACTTATATCTTCATAAGAATACAGTGGATATAATTGTCAGGATCATATGAAAATATCTTTCAAAATGTTCATTTGAGCCCCAAGTGGTATTCTGTATGTAGTCAATGCATACTTAATGTTATATTTCCAAAAGATGGAATTTAAAACCTATTGTCAATGATTCCTAAGTCCCTGGGTGGTACAAATGGGTTGCATTCCACTCTTAACCTCAAAGGCAGCCCTGGTGGCATAGTGGTTACGTGTTTGGCTGCCAGCAGCTGCAAGGCCAACAGTTTGAAACCATCAGTTGTTCTGAGGGAGCAAGATTTACAGTTTCAGAAACCCACAGGGACAGTTCTATGAGTTGCTATGAGTCGGAATTGACTCATTGGCAATGAATTTTGGTTTTATTAACATCTAGGTTGCTATTTGAATCCATTCAATGAGGCTGTGTTTATTAAGCAGGTTTAGTGATCCACTTCTGTAAAGATGACAGCTAAGAAAACCCTCAGGAGCAGTTCTACTGTGTAACACGTGGAATCACCATGAGTCAGAATTAATTTGATGATAATGTTTCTATTTTTGCATTAATGGTATATTTTAAGACACATTCTTTCTTTGTCTAGACTGCATTGACCAGACATTCCTTTCCTATGCCAATGTGAAATATCCAGATGATTTATAAGCCAACAACTTTAATAGAAGACTACTAAGAACAGAAGAAGGATACAGCTTCAAAACTGAATGGCAGGATGGTTTATGCTTAAAAGTAATTTTGTTCATTATCTTAAATGTTTATATTTCGTTTGTTTTGCACATTGGTATATGTGCTTACTTAAAAGATCTACATATGCTTGAAATAACCATAAAGTTAATAGTCAAATACAGTTAATTTGGTCAACCAGTGTTCAGTATCATTGAAAACTTAAGTGATAGTCTTCCAGCATGTAAATGCCACTGACTTCTGACCTGACATTTATTATAATAAATATTATTAGTCATGTCAAATGATCTACTTTCTGGCTCTTAGATTTATCTAGTAACTTTCCACAAAAAAAATATCTTCTGTTATATATGTAGTTTCTTGAAATCTGCAGTGTTGTTAGATTTTTGACCATTATATTTACATTATTCAGTAAAATTTGTTCTGTAGATAACCATGAGTAAATTACTATCTCCGTTGCTTTCTTAGAAATTGTATCTAGGTATATTTTCATTAACTTTAAATTAAGTGAACTTAATAAATGTCTGTATATAAATTAGGTGTTAAAGATATAGATTGCTTTAGGACAAAATTTATGAAAATATTAGTGTACCAAATGATCTTTACAAGAAAAGAATTTTTCTTAAGGATTCTAGGGATTCTCAAATGAGGACCTTAATTTTCTTAGCATTATCCGTCTTAGAGATTTTTGCAGGCAGCAATTTTATTAGATATATTAATTTCATTTAAGATGCTTTTGAAAAAAACTTGTCATAATTTTTCTCATTTGCAGTTGAAACCAATAAAAGCATCCTTTGATGTCATTGTAAAATTTTTTATTTAGATGTTTAAGTTTAGCAAATAAAAACTCATACTATTAATAACTTCTTGCTTTATTATAATAGGATTAACCTGTAAAACTCATGTCCTAAATAAGATCGCAAACTATGCTTTCAAGTTATGAAAATATGTTCATTTGTGGAGTTTAGGGTAAGGTGTGTATGCAATGTGTATGCTTACTGAGAATGAGTGTATGTAGGGGTGTAGGTTGGGGCTGGAAATTAAAAATGGATGATAATAACCTTATAACTGGAATCTACATTCATTACTATTGTGTTTTGCTTCTTGCAAATAGTTTTTTTATCTCATTTGTTTGTTTTCAGTTATATCTTTACTTTTGAGTGCCAGCATTAACAATTTTAAGAATTCTATCATCTTTTAAACTTATAAGTCATTTAATTCAGCCATATAAAACATACTAAAATTGGTTGCTCCTTTATTGTTAGTGACTACTGCAAGAAGATTTGTCTAAATGTTCAGGGACATTTTTCCAGTTCTTAAAAATCAATTTACCATGCTTTATAACCTCTTTTGTATTTCTGTATTATCTGATTTTTTTTCATTGTCTTTGATAAATAAAAACATCCTTTTTTGTTTTGCTACTTGAGCCTCCTACTTTTTCTTTCCCTTCGTTCAGTTTACTTCCTGTATGGAGGTTTATTGTAGATTTAAATGCCTGTGATACACTCTGGGACTAAACAAATAATGTGGGGTAAAGAAAGCAAAATAGATAATTTAGTTACCTAACTTAAAAGTTAATAAAATGAAAATGTACTTACATGCAAACTCATGGTGCATTTCTTTATTAACTAATTAATTTCCATAACACTATATTTCATTCTTTCAATACATTTAAAATTAAACTTTTAGGATTCATATAACTTTAAATTAGAAAGATGCTCAACTGTCAAACTTTAATTTTGTTTGGTTAAGTTGTGTATTATGTATACTGGGTTTTATATATGGCTGTGTCACTTTGTATCCAACATTGGAAACATTTTCTATACCTGTAAGGTACATGTTTCCAAATCCCCTGTAACTGTCTAATAGTAGCCTTAAATCTCATAATCTGTAAAAGGGAATCAAAATATGTTTTAAAATGTGACATTCCTTTTTAGAGGTATCAAATCCTCCAGACTTATTTTCCTGTGGGATTGATTAGATCAGCTGCTACTGTGGTTGGGTGACACTTGGCCACCTTTGCATTCTGCTTTGAAAACTGAAAGTCAAAACCCTTTTTAGGATGACTTTTAAAAATCAGGATGTGGGTGTCAGGGTTATATCCTCTCACCATACATATTCATTCTATATGCTGAGTACATCAGAGAAACTGGATGATATGATAATGTGGCATCAGGATTGGTGGAAGATTTAGTAACAATCTTAGATATGCATATGACACAACTTTGCTTGCTGAAAGTGAGCACCTGCTGATGGAGGACTTGAAGGCTTGAAAACACCTGCTGATGAAGATCAAGGTTGGTAGCCTTCCATATGAATTACAACTCAAAGTAGACCAAAACCCTCAACAACTGCCAGTGGGCAACATGATGGAGAAAAGTTTGAAATTGTCAAGGACTTTGCCATTCTTGGATCTACAATCAGTGCTCATGGAAGCAGCTGTCAAATCAAAAAGACTTAGTGCATTAGCCAACTCTGCTGCACAAGACCTCTTTAGCATGCTGAAAAGCAAGAATGTTACATCAAGGACTAACATGTGCCTGACCCAAGCCATGGTGTTTTCAACCACATCGTATGGATATGAAAGATGGACATTGAAAAAGGAAGATTGAAGAAGAATCAATTTGTTTAAATTGTGGTGCTGGAGAAAAATAACGAACTGCTACAAGGACAAACTGATTTGTTTTGAAATAGGTAAAGTACCCCAGAGTGCTCCTTGGAGGCAAGTATGGCAAAACTTATTCTTACATACTTTGGACATACTTTCAGGAGAGGCCAGTCCTTCGAGAAAGACAACATGCTTGGTAAAGTGGAGGAGCAGAAAAGAGCAAGGTCCTCAAGGAGATGGATTGACACAGTGGTTGCAACAATTGGGTCAGGCATAAGAATAACTGTGAGGATGGTAGTTGAGATAGTTTATTGTGCCAGCCTGGCTGATAAACACAAGTGGGATTAATTGAAGGGCAGAGAGATAAATGGCTTGGTGAGCCTTGCCTTTCTTGTCTCTCGCTCTGTGAGCATCAGACCAGTGTGTGGCTGCCTTGCTTGTTCTGTTCAATTTAAAGGCTACACTACCTGTCGGACGCCTAGCCTGTGGACTGTGTCGCTGTAAGTTGAGGTCCCTTTAAGACATCTCTGGAGCTGGGGACTGGCGGTTGGTGACCTGGCTGGCAGTTGGTGACCTGCCTTGTGATTGGCTGCTGTGCTGACATAGCTTAGCTCTCTCTACAAATAGAGGAAGATCTGGCAGCAGACTAGACTTGAAGGACTGCTAGTCTCTCAAATTTCTCTCACAGACGTGAGTTGCACTGAGCTATTTGTAGTGCTTTATAATTAACTGTTTATTTCTTGTATTATATGTTTATCTATATGATTTAACAGTTCATTTCTTGTTATATATCTAATTATCTTTATAAATAAATATATTAAATTCTCAGCAATTTGGTTTTGTCTCCCTAGAGAACCCTGTCTAACACATTTTGGTACCAGGAGTGCTTCTAGAGAAATACAATCATAAATATGGGCTTCTTAAATTGGCTCTCCAGCCTGATTAGTCTTAACACTAGTGATGCGACTTCAACATCCCAAAGCATGGATAAGTCTGCTACTCCTCCTAATCCATGGTGTGAAATAGCAAAAATAATACCTAAAGTAGCACCACCGATAGATGAGGTGCTGGTTAAAGGAGAGGCTCTGAGTGATCGTATGTTTGATATTTTCCAGGAGTTTTGTAAGGATGACAAATATAGTAGGGAAGCTGGTTGGCTGGTCCTTCTTAACAATGGACAGTGTGATTAAGGAGAGGGATGATCTCAGAGCCTAAAAAGCGCGCCTTAAGTGCAGACTAACAGATTTAAAAACTTCCATCTGTGCTACAAAGGAGAGCCTTCTCTCTGCTAGTAAAAGAGCTGACATTGCCGAGAATCAGGTCCAGAGTCTCGTTATACGAGTGGCTGAATTACAACGGCAGCTGAATTGCAGATCTAGAGCAGTGTCTGAAACCAAAGTAAGGGCATTGATTGGGAAAAGTTGGGACCCTGAAACATGGGATGGGAACATATGGGCTGATGATCCAGAAGAGGAGGATATTGAGCCCTTAGAAACAATTGACCCACCCCAGTCAATAGATCCACTCCCTCAGCTGAAAGTATTAATTCACAATCCACACCTGAGCCAAACTATGCAAATTGATATGCCAGGTGGGGTTACATCAGTAGCATTGCTTAAGGGAGATGCCTTACAAAATAATGCTGAGAGCACTCAGGAAACACCCTCACCACCCATTATTTCCTGTCACTAAAATTAAGTCTCAGAAAGCTCCTAAAGGTGAGGTTGAGCTGATTACCAAAGAAGAAGCGCGCTATACTCAAAGATCTCGAGTTTTCAAATACATACAAGCAGAAGCCTGGGGAATATCCCTGGAAATGATACTAAGGGTGTGGGATACTGGTGCACGAAATGTAATATTAGACCAGTCTGAGTTTCTGGATATGGGACCCCTAAGTACTGACTCTTCTTTCATTGTCTCTGCGAGAGAGGCTAAGAGAGGATCTAATTCTTTATTTGGTTGGTTCAATGAAGCATGGACTGCCAGATGGCCTAGATTGGACCAAGTTGAAGTACCTGACCTACCGTGGTACACTGTAGAGGAAGGCATCCAAAAGCTTAGAGAAATTGGTATGTTGGAATGGATCTATCAGGATATTCCCATAGACCCAAAAAGGGGGTGTCCTGAGGACATACCCTTTACCAAAACCATAAGGAACAAGTTTGTGAAGTGGGCCCCAGCATCTCTTAAGACTCCTGTAATTGCTATTTTATGTGCACCAGGATTAACAGTGGGCACTGCCCTAAGCGAACTCTGACATTTGCCTACAATGGGGCTGATTGGTTCCCGTGATGGTAGAGGTCAGGTGTCAGCACTGAATCAAGAGACAGGGTGGGCGTGGTTATAATAGACAACAAGGTTTCTGTAGCAATCAGAGCAGCCTGTCTCGTGTGGAATTAATGGCATTGGCTACTTAGCCACGGTGTCCCTAGGAATGAAATAGATGGGAAACCTACTAAATACTTATGCGATCTCTACAGGCAAAAAATGGTAGATCAGGTGAACAGCAGAATATACAGTCATGATCGCTCAATCAATTCCCAGACCTGAGCCAGTTTAAAGACCCACAACCTCTTGAATGAGAGGGAGGCCAGGTCCCTTTGAAGGAGGACCCTGCTATATCAGTGAAGGTCTATACTGTTAGTCTTTCTTCTAGCCTTCCCCAAAGGGACCTGCGGCCTTTCACGAGAGTAACTGTTCATTGGGGGAAAGGAAATAATCAAACTTTTTGGGGATTACTGGGCACTGGCTCGGAACTGACACTCATGCCAGGAGACCCAAAGTGTTTCGAAGGCCCACCAATTAGAGCAGGGGCTTATGGAGGTCAAGTTATCAATGGGGTTTTAGCTCAGGTACGCCTCACTGTTTCTGGGTCCAGTGGGCCCCTGGACCCATCCTGTGGTTATTTCCCCAGTTCAAGAATGCATCACTGGAATAGACATACTTAGTAACTGGCAGAACCCCCATATTGGATCCCTGAAATGTGGAATAAGGGCTATCATGGTAGGAAAGGCCAAGTGGACACCATTAGAACTGCCATTG